TATATAAAAAATTAAACTGAATAGTAAAGTGAGATAATTGGTCTGAGGTCTCCTCAAACATTTCACTGAATAGAAGCCTGAGAGATATCAGCTTATTATATTACTATCTCTGAAATGCCACTGGCATTTCCTAGTGTTTTTTTTTTCTTTATTCATAATAGAATACATGTGTGTGAGAAAAAGGGTGAGAGGAGCATCCTCCATAGGTCATGCTGTGATCTTGTTCCTCCAGCCCTTTAGCATATTAGATCCAAGGCACTTGCATGTGTGCTTGGCTTGTTTCAGGCTAACCAGGTTGGGGATTCAAACTATGGTCACCATACAGGACTTGCCTTCTCTTGAGCAACACTTCTCTTGAGCTAAACCATGGAGTCAGTCCCAACTGGCATTTCCTTTGCTAACAAAAGGAAACAGAAAAAGAAAATCAGATTACCTGGGAAGGTAAGGGCTTAGGCTGTACGATATTCCTTAGGTCATATCTTTCCTGGTTCCAGTTGCCCATCAGGGTACGGTTTGAATAGGAATCCTCATTAGTGGTACATCTCCATCCATACTGGAAAAACTTGGACATATCATTCCAATCTGTCCACACTTCACCATGGCCATCTGCATTAATGAGGCTGCCACAGTGTGGGTTTGTGAGAAAACAGGCGAGGTTCTGTCTCTGGGAAAAGGCAAGAATATAAAAACTTAACTGCACAAAGAACAGAAAAGGCATCCCTTCCTTCCCTGCTTTATCTGGCCAGATATAACACAAGCGCAAGCACTTACTAGGCTTTCCTTTAAATTTAATTGTTGTTGGGGCCAGCAGGTGGTGTGGTGGTAAAGATGTTGAACTCCTCAATTCAAAACTGCTTTTCTTGAAATTACCAGCTGAACTTGCTATTCAAAGTAGTTAGATTATTTAAGAAATTGTCTGATCCAGGCTTTAAGTTTTAAGCAAATTTCCTTACCAATAAAATGTGAGAGGAAAAGGAATGGAAGACAACTGTAGACACCAGAGATAGTGTGAGAAGAGGGTGGGAAAGGGCAGAGGGTCATAGGAGTAAATATATATATAAATTAATTAAAAAAATGTTTCAGGAGAAAAAAACCCCACAAAAACGGTTTTTCTTGAAATTAAAAACAATGCATATTTGATGACTGCAGTAAGCTATATAGCCCCAGCTAGGTGCTACTTTATAGTATGTTCATTCTACTTACTGAGGTTTACACCTAAAGTCAGACTTGTGTTCATGGATATGTATATATCAGCTGCACTTGCTATTGGAAATATTTAGATTAAGTTCATTAGCGAATCAATAAAATGGGGGGAAATGTCATAGAAAACAACCATGGATATGAGAGACAGTGTGGGAGGAGGGACATGGCAGAGGGTGAGAGATAGGGAATCAATGATGGCGGAAAAAAAAAAAAAACAAAATATACAGAAAACAAGAAACGGAAAATTATTTGTTGATGATAACACGTATGTTGATGTGCTTGATTAAGCCAATATACAGTGTATTCTGGATGGCAAATCTCATTTTGTATTTTGTAATGATGTGTATATAGTAAATGAATGTAAATAAGTAAATTTAAAGAAAAAAAAAATGTTGAACTCCCTCATGGCTGGCTGTGGTTCAAGTCCCAGGCCTGGCAACTTGATTTCTCACTTCCCCTCTCTCTCTGGTGAATAAAAAAATAATAGTGATAGTGATAAAAAATATTGAATAATTCTTTTAAAAATGAATTTGTTGTGATTCCATTTCTTCCTCTCCAGGTCCATAAACCTTTGACCTATCCTCTCAATCAGCAATAGAGGATGACTGTAGAGATTAAATTCCACACCTCAAAAAGACGGAAAACCTCCAGTACCTCCAACACTAGATGACAAACTAGCTAAGTGTTTAAATCATTTTGAGATATAGTATTTTAGAGACTAAGGGTATTGCTATAGTCAAAAAGAATAGAAAGAAGTATCAGGCTGAACTAGATAACCCAATAAATGATCATTTCCTCTCTTCTAGGCCCAGCTCAAATAATGCCTTCCCTGAAGTCAATGTCTCTCTTTCTTATTTTGGAGAGATTTTTGCTATAGGGTGTGAGCTTGCCAGAAAGACAGAGAGAGAAATGAGAAATCACCCCCCAAAGGGGAATGGCCATGCTGCGATTATGTCTCTATTTTTTTGGAGAGACTTTTCTATAGGGTGTGTGAGCTCACTGGAGAGACAGAGAAAGTGAGAAATCACCCCCCAGAAGGGGGATGGCCATGCTGCAATCCCTTCGCCTTCATTCTTCTCTCAGGATTTTGAGTGCATATGTACCTGGTGTGAGTTTCAAGTTGCCGGGTCCGAGACTTGAACCGTGGTCAACTATGTGGGAGTCTAGTGATGTAACCAGTATGACATCTGCTGGTCCCTATCTCTTCTTTTTTTAAATTAGTGATTTCAACATATTAGTTTTGGTTCTCTCTTTTGGAGTCATGTAAAGCAAGTCGAATAACTATTTATTTTGTATTATAGGGCATGTGCACTTGCTAGAGACAGAAAGATGGGGGGAGGGACTGAGAAATCACACCCCAGAGGAGATGATGAAACTGAAATCCCATGTCCTCCGTTCTTCCCTTGGGATTTTTGGCACACACACATAAGCTTGAGGTGATTTTCAAGTCACAGGGTCCAGGAATTGAACCACAAAGTTGGCTATGTGGAATTGTCACCTTACACTCCACACCACCTGCTGGCCCCATCTCTCTCTTTTTATCTTACATAGAACTTGACCTTTGTGTCTTTTTTTTTTTTTTGCTACAGGGCATGTGCACTTGCCAGAAAGAGAGAGAGAGAGAGAGAGAGAAAGCGAGAAATCACCACCCCAGGGGGGATGGCCACGTCACAATCCCTTCTCCTCCATTCTCCTCTCAGGATCTTGGGCACGCATGCACATGCACCTGGCATGAGTTTAAGCTACCGGGTCTGGGACTCGAACCGTGGTCAACTACATGGGAGTTCATTATGCTAGCTGGTCCCGACCTTCATATCACTATAACTTTCTATCATATGTTAAGAGTTCTTCGAGTACATATTGCAGCTTTTCTACTGAACTGTTTGCCCCTTGAGGACAGGATATGTGCTTTGTTCATTATTGTACCTGCCCTCTCTCTACCCTTCCAATCAAAGTGCTTTGCCTATACCAGATGATCAATGTCTGGTTTTACTTTTTTTTTTTTTAAAGAGGTTTTTGCTACAGGGTGTGTGCGCTCACCAGAAAGAGACAGAGAGACAGAAAGTGAGAAATCACTGCCCAGGGGGGATGGCCACGCCACAATCCCTTCTCCTCCATTCTCCTCTCTGAATCTTGGGCATGCACGCACACGCACCCGGCTGAGTTTAAGCCACCGGGTCCGGGACTTGAACTGTGGTCAACTACATGGGAGTCCAGCGACCTAGCCATTACGCTAACTGCTGGTCCCTGGATTTTATTTTTTAGAAAGGAATCAAAAGTCCAATCGTTTTGTTTTGGGAGGAGTGGTGGCAAAAGATGAGTCTGGTCCCCCAGCTTAGGAACGAAGTGGTACCTTCTCCGAAGAACAGTAAATTGATACGGTGCAGGATGAGTTGCTTGAAGATTTCAGAGCAGAGTGACACAAATCTTTATTTGGTTGTCCCATGTTTATGAAGAGAGATCATCAAACTTGGCCTTCCCAGTTCTCCAAGCAAGGACAAAGTGTCGAACACCCAGATCACTGTAGCCAGGTGGCCATGACTTGGGAGCCACTGCCTACTTGTCTTTGCACAGCTATTAATACAGCATCAAAGGATAGCATCTCAGCAAAATGCCCTCATATCAACTGCCTTTGTTAAGATAGTGCCTACACTGATGTCACCAAACAGCATGACAACTAAAGTAGCTGGTCCCACACAGTCCAGTGGACCTAGGACTCTGACTAGAGACTTAGCCAACACTGTGTCTAGGGTTGGAAAGACAGGTATCAGCATTGAATCAGTTGTCCAAGCTTCTGGGATTTATATTTGACATCCCTCTCAACATTCATCTACTCTTGTTCATTTTTTAATGCGTCTATCTTCTTTCCCCACAGCCAATTCCAGTTCAGATAATTATCAGTCTTAGTCTCCATTACTGCAATAGCCTTCTTTTTGATCTCCTTGGCATCAGTCTGGTTCCTCTCCAATCCTTTCTCTATAGGAAAGCAGAATTCTTAAAAATGAGTTTCATAACGCCATCTTCCTATTTAAAATTGCTCAATGGCTTTCTATTCTTTTAAAACTAAGGTTCAGGCTGTTAAAATGGCTTTAAAATGCTCTAAATGACCTGGCCCATGCTTAGTTCTGTTTCATCTGTTACCCACTCTACCTCCTACTGTGTTTGGGCCAAGCTCACTCTTTTTCTCTATTATTCTTTTGCGAAATACTGTAATACTGTTCCTTCCAATTTTTCATTCTCCTCACTCAGGTAAGGCTCCCCAATTCATCCCACCCACCTCAGAGCTTTCGGCTCAGGTTCATTTCCACTTTACCCCTGGAACTGGTAAGGTTTCATTTCTCGGTGCTCCCACAGAATCCTCCCAGCCTGTGCCCTAGTGTACCAGAACTGCCATTTTTGCTGCGCATTCTCTTGTCAGACAGCAAGCTCAGTGCAATCACAGGTCACATCTTGGTCATCCCTATATCTAGCCATCCTCACGGTCGCCTGTTACATCTTTGGCATTCCATAATACTTCCTGAATAAAAGATAGGAGATGGAAGCTCCTGGAGAAGTTCCGAGCAGCTGAGCCGATGGGAGGCGGCCATCTCCGACGAGATGAAGGCAGTTACAATAGCCTCCGTGTCGGGGACATGCAGGACACGGCCCAACCTTTCAGTGGTCTTAGCGCATCTCATCCTTCTGCGCTCGTGACTGCTTGTGACCTCACGCAGATGTGACGAAGTCGCTCAGGGGAGTCCTCGGGGTAAAAGGCATTTCGATTACCCCGAGCTGGTGGGGAGGTGAGGGGACAGTCGCGCAGGTGTCTCACTTTTGCGCTCAAGTTTACGGTCTTCCCAGGTAGTCGCTGCCCCGGTGTGTCAGAACAACCAGGCGCTGCGTGTGCGTCATCAGCCAGGGACTAGAGAAAGGCGGGCGGGCAGAGACCCCGCGAAGGAAGTGACGCAATAAACAAGCGCTACAGAGAACGCGAGCGGGGAGTCCCGGGGAGCCATGGCCCCTCGGCGCCTCCTGATGGTTGGGGAGGGGAATTTTTCCTTCGCTGCCGCTCTCAGCGAAACCCTGGATCCGTGCACTTGCCTTACCGCCACCTGCCTCCAGAGCCCAGCTGACTTGACTGGGGACCTGGTGGCCCAGGAGAATCTGCAGCGTCTGCGCGAGCGAGGTACTGGGCCGGCCCCTCTGTGAAGCGCCGCACAGCTGCCAGTGCATCCCACGTGGAAAGGGTGTGGCGTGGGCCTGGGGATGTAACCCACAGGGGGATTGCTGTCTTCGTCCCGTGGACTTTCATAGGAAGCCTGCTTTGTGCCTGACCCTGGGCTGGTTTGCACAGTTCAGGTTAGGAAAATTTTTTTGGTGGCTTTTGGTTTCCTATCTATATTTCGCCCGTCTACACTCTCTTTGCCAGGTGCCGAGGTACGCTTTGGTGTGGACTGTACTCAACTGGCAGATGTCTTTGGAATGCACCACAGGGAATTTGATCGAATTTATTTTAATTTTCCACACTGTGGACGCAAAGCTGGAGTAGCTAAGAACAGGGAACTACTTGCCAAGTTTTTCCGGAGGTGAGGAAAGAAGAACCCTTACAAGTAAAATGTTTAAGATGTCCATAATGTAGTTACCGCACTCAGTTCAGTTGGGGAAATGAGGCAGACGCAAATGCCCAAATGAATCCACAATCTAGTTGGAAAGGTAGACATAATAATTCTAAATGCTAAATGAACTACAAATAGTGTGCTTTTCAACGTATAAAGATAGAATAATTTATTTTTGGTAATGTAAAATAATGAGAGCCAATATAGTCTGATGGTTAAGAGCATGAACTTCAAGCCAAACTGCTTAAAGTCCTGGCCTAACACCAGTGTTGTGATTTTAGGCAAACTTATTTAATCCTTACAACCTTCTGTTTCCCCACCTCTAAACTGGGGATATTAATAGTAACTGGCTTATAAAATTATTGTGAACTTAAAACAGTGCATTACACTATTATACCAAAATATGTGATGGTATTGGAGGTATCCTGTGGGTCATGGCTGTCAATAAACTTTGCATGGAGGCAGTCTTTTCAGCTAGTCTTTGAAATATAGAATTTTATTTGGCAGGAAGGTGGCAAAAACAACTTTCTAGAAAAGAAACTCCAAGTAGAATCATGTATAGGAACTTTGTAGACATTGAGCTTTCTATGACATACAGGTGAACAATAGAAATGCAAAGTGGGATGACACCTAGTCAGCTGCTAGTATCAGTGGGTTGAATGTTTGATTGACATTCTTTTTTTTTTGGAGAAGTTTTCGCTATAGGGTGTGTGTGCTTGCCAGACAGAGAGAGACATAGAGACAGAAAGTGAGAAATCACCCCCCATGGGGGATGGTCACACTGCAATCCCTTCTCCTCCATTCTCCTCTCGGGATCTTGGGCACGCACGCACACTTGCCCGGCATGAGTTTAAGCCACCGGGTCCGGGACACGAACCGCGGTTGACTACGTGGGAGTCCAGCGACATAGCCATTACACTAACTGCTGGTTCCCACATTCTTATTAACTTCTAGCTACTTTCTTGCACGTTTGAAGTCTAATAGACCTTTGCAAATAGTTAGGATTTTAATTAGCTTATAGCCAAACCATGTGTATACTGCTGACACTTATGGTAATTTCTACTTGATTTTTATAAACAGCTGATATTTTTGTCTACTCCATTAGCTGTGCAGATGTTCTTGCAAAAGAGGGAGAAGTTCATGTGGCATTGTGTAAAGGACAAGGTGGAACTCCTGCTGATAAGCCCCAGAGAGAATGGCACAACAGTTGGCAAGTGGTTGCTATGGCAGCCTTGGGGGGGCTCATTTTAAGTGATCTGCATCCCTTCAGTTGTGAGGCTGTGCCAGGGTACAAGTGCACTGGATATAGGTAAGTAATAACAAAGGTCTAAGCCTTCCCTTTTTCATTTCTTTTACTAAAGATTTAAAGAAGAAATCTCTTGGGCCCAGCAAGTGGTGTGGAGGTTAGGGCAGCTTGATCCTACATGATTGACTCCATGGTTTGAGTCCTGGACCCAGTAGCTTGAAAATCATGCCAGGCCTGTGGGTGTGTATGCCCAAAATTGCAAGAAGAGAATGGAGGGGACGGGACTGTGGCATGGCCATCACCCCTGGTGGGTGATTTCTCACTTTGTATCTCTCTGTGTCTCTCCATATTTGCTTTATTAAATAATTATTTGGGGGCAGCAGTTATTGTAGTGGCTATGTCGCTGGACTCCCATGTAGCCGACTGCGGTTCGAGTCCCAGACCCGGTGGCTTCAACTCACGCCAGGCGCATGTGCGTGCGTGCCCAAGATCCCGAGAGGAGAATGGAGGAGAAGGGATAGCAGCGTGGCCATCCCCCCTGGGGGGTGATTTCTCGCTTTCTGTCTCTCTGTCTCTCTCTGTCTGTCTGGCGAGCGCATGCGCCCTGTAGCAAAAACCTCTCCAAAAAAAAAAAAGAATTATTTATTCAAATTTATTTATTATTATTATTTAATTTGACGAGGAGGGTGGGCAGTGAGAAAAAAAGCCACCAGATTTGGGACTCAGACCGTATCAACCATGTGGGAGTTCAGTGCCTTCACCATCACCTCCCCTGCCAGCCCCACTATATTTGCTTTCTAAAAATAACGACAGACTTTGTACTGGTGTCTGTTTTGCTAGGAGTCAAGATAAGTCCTTTCATGTCGAAGGTGCTTTGACCCATATCTTCTCCCGGAGCTTACCTTTTGAAGATTCTCAACCCAAAATCTTCAGGATCAAATTGGGTGGCCAGAGGTTTTCTTTTCAAGAACCAGAAGCACTCGCAGGGAAGTTGAACAGGTAACCTTTTATTTTGCTGGAAATCACTCATTTCCAGTGTATCCAGATTGTTTTGAAGGCAAAGAGATCTGTATTGAATGAATGATACCTAAATTATTAATAATTTTGATGCTATGAATACTTGTCGGTCATGTCTCTTACAGCTCTTTAAAATGAAAAATTACTATTTTGAAGTGTTTTTGGGGGGAGGAGTTGTGAAACACATGATATCTCTCCTGTGGTAAATGATTTTTTTTCCATTTGGTTTCAACTGAAGGGTAATTATTTTCTGAATAGCTATTGTGTTTATATTTGTAAAGTCTAACTGCATTATAATTATTATTTTAAATCAGAAAAGTTATTTTTTTGTATGTTTGTCTAAACAGGGGATTCCTAGAAGGAACTTCATGTCATCCTATCAAAACCATCAATGAGAAACTTATTGCTAAATTAGGCAAAGCTTTCCCTCTAAAAAGGTTGAAGTGTTCTTTCCCTTTGCTGCCACAGGAAGGCACCAGTGTTCTCCCTTTCTGGAACTGTGACATTTTATCAGCTGCCTTTTGGATTAATCTCCTTGAAGATAACTCAGATTTTGAGTCTCTAACTGGTGGGGCAACGCAAGATATCGAAGACTTTCTAGTGTTATTTTCAGAACTCAGTCTTCCCCGTAGTCCTGGAAGAGATGGTAAAGATGAAACGCACAAAGGAATCTGTGGCCAGGCCAAGGTCTGCCTTAGACCTTCCCTCCTAGTTCATGTTCCAGCTGTCATCCAAGCGCCAGACTTCCTCCCAGGTTTTCTGTACACCCTCAGTGGACCTGTCTTTCTCAAGTGCTGCATTTTGCCTTTCTCAATGCCAGCATTTCATGAGACTTTACTTATCATTGGGTTTAATCAAAATCTGAAAGATGGCTGTCTTCAGTCACTACTGGATAACCTGAAAGGCATTCTAAATAGCCTTCTGACCCAGACATTGCCAGAAGACTTTAAGCTAAGTAGTTCGGTGGAATTTGTCCTTCAATCAAATGGGAAAGATTATATGATTCACATGAGGTCTCATAACTTGGGCCCAGGTTATGCCAAAGATGTAAATTTTGGGTTTGTCTCCACATCAACTATAAGCATTAGACATAAAGACCAGTGCATTGTGTTTGTGTCTCTGAACCTGGACTTACTAGCCATGCTTGTCTGGGGTATCTCTGATTGGAGAATGTTGTGGACCTTTGATAACCGTTTCCTGAAAAATTTTGTCCCTGAGAAAATAGAACCCTTTAAAAGCTATTCCCTGTATCCTCCATGCTATGTGCATGATATTAGTTTTTGGTTAGATGAGAAAAAAGAATTTGATGAGCTAGAGTTTCACACTATTGCCCGAGCGGTGTCCCAGGACAGTGTTATAGCCTTACAATTCCTTAGTCGTTTTCAACATCCAGAGACGGAACAGGTCAGTCTGTGCTATAGATTGACCTACCAGGCCTGTGATAAGGCCCTCACAAAGCAGCAGGTAGCATCAATGCAGTTCAGATTTAGGAAGGAGATTCAACAGCGACTACATATTACACCTCGGTAGATAAGTATTAATAAATTCATGCCTTTAGTGTGATCCTTCATTGGCATAAGTGTGGATGAAAACAATCAAGTTGCAACTAGTAGTCCTTTCTGGACTGTGTTTCTGTCCAAAATCTTGTACCTTGTCACCTTAGCCATTGTTGGTTGACTGTAAATATACCTGTGCCTCTTCACTTTGACTTAGAGAATGTAATGTGATCAGTGATGTTTGGAGTTGGACATTATTTTGGTCCTGAATAATGACCAAGACAAATACAGTGTGTTGTACTTCAGATGCTCTATCCTAAAGAAGCAGTAGAACTTGGGTGTTTCATCAAATATAAATATACTTTATATTTATATAATTTATAATTATAAATCCAATTTCCAGATTGGCTCTGTGACCTGGTTATAAAGGCGGCTGGATCCCACATGGTTGGGATTAAGACCCAAGATAGAGGAACTGGCAGGTGGCGTGGTGGATTAGGGTGCTGGATTCCCACATGGCCGACTGGTTCGAGTCCTGGATCTGGCAGCTTGCTTTCTCCCTTTCTCTCTCTGTCTGGTCAAATTAAAATTAATAATAATAACAGCAAATGGAATTAAGTAAATAATTCTTTAAATTAAAAAAAAAGAGACTTAAGATAGGGACCAGCAGGTGCCATAATGGTTATGTCGCTGGACTCCCATGTAGTTAGAATCCCAGAACCTGGTGGCTTAAAACTCACACTGGGCATGTGTGCATGCATACATGCCCCAAATCCCGAGAAGTGACTGGAGGAGGGGTTGCGCGGTGCCCCCCCCCCCCCCCCCCCCCCCCGGGGGGGGGGGGCAGTGATTTCTCACTTTCTGTCTCTCTGGTGAGTGTACGTGCCCTATAGCAAAAATCTATTTTAAAAAAAAAAGACTTACGATATCCAGGGGCTGGTAGGTGGCATGGTGGTTAAGGTATTGGACTCCCACATGACCAACCAAGGTGCAAATCCCAGACCAAGCAGCTTGCTTTCTCACTTTTCCTCTCTCCCTGTCTCGCTCTGGTCAAATTAAAAAAGAATAAAATTTTTGAAAACCACTTTCATTTTTTCTTTTCTGTAGAGATTTTTGCTACAGGGTATGTGCACTCACCAGAGAGACAGACATAAAGCGAGAAATCACCCCTGGAGGAATGGCTATGGTGCAATACCTTCTCTTCCATTCTCCTCTCAGGATTTTGGGCATGCACGCACATACACCTGGTGTGAGTTTCAGGCCACTGGGTCCAGGACTTGAACCATGGTCAACTATTTGGGAATCCAGATACATAACCGCTATGCCATCTGCTGGGCCTATCACTTCTTTTTTTTTTTTTAATAATTATTTAATTTTATTTATTTTAATTTGACCAGAGAGGGGCAGAGCGAGAGAGAGAGAGAAAGTGAAAAAGCAAGCCAACAGGTCCAGGATTGAAATGTGGTTGGCCATGTGGGAGTCCAGCACCCGTAATCACCACGCCACCTGCCAGCCCCCACTTCATTTCTTAAAGACAAAAAAAGATACCTGGGTTTAGTAGGTGGTTTGGTAGTTAAGGTCCTGGACTCCAACGTGGTTGACCATGGCTCGAGTACTGGATGTGGCAGCTCGCTTTCTCTCATTCCCTTTCTCTCTCTCTGGTCAAATAAAAAAGATAATGATGAATAACATAAATATAAAATAATAATTAAAAAAAAAGACTCAAGATATCTCTTATGGACATGAGTATTGCTTAGCTCTCCACATACCCTATAAGCTAACCAAGGGCAGATACTGTGTTTTATGCCTTTCTTCTATCTGCAGTAGTGCCTGGTACATGTATGAGCTAGCATTGGAGCTGGATCTTAAAACAAGCGCAGGGAGGTGACCGGAGAGAATTGTTAGGCAAGGAGGACGTGCATTTCAGGCAGAGGGCATGCATAACAGAAGTATAAATAAGGGAGCATGGGGCTACTTTCCAGAGTTGTTAGGTGGAATGTAAAATGTACATATGAAAGTAGTGAGAGAGAAAGTTGGAAAGGTAGATTGGGGCTACAGTCTGTTCATATAAGACTGAATGTTAAAATAAGGAGTTGGTACTTTATTTGGCAGGTAATAGGGAAAAAATCTGATGATTCTTAATTAAGGATGTAACAGTAGTGCTCTGGAAAAGTAATAGGAGTTTTGCATTGGATGAATTTGAGGTGGAAGATCCCTGTAAAGGTGCTACTGCAGGGCCCGGTCACAGTAGCATGTACCAGATGCTGCTACTTAGCACACCGAGGCCATGTGGAAGGCCCCGATTTGATTCCTTACCTTAAAAGGCCAGGTGTATGGGCCAGCAAGTTAAGGTGCTTGATCCCACGTAGCCAGCTGTGAGGCTCAAGTCCCAGCCTAGTGTCTTGAAAATCGTGCTAGGGATGGGTGTGCAGGCCCAAAGTCCCAAGAATGGATTGGAGAAGGGATTGTGACATGGCCATCCTCCCTCAAGGGTGATTTCTCACTTTCTGTCTGTCTCTGTCTCTGGCAAGCACACGCACGCTAGTAGCAAAAATTAAAAATAATTAAAAATAGGGACCAGCAGTTAGTGTAATGGCTATGTTGCTGAACTCCCATGTAGCTGACCGTGGTTCGAGTCCCGGACCCGGTGGCTTAAACTCACGCCGGGCACGTGTGTGCGTGCCCACGATCCCTCAAGCAGAATGGAGAAGGGATTGAGGCATGGCCATCCCCCCGGTGGGTGATTTCTCACTTTCTATCTCTGTCTGTCTCTGTCTTTTTGGCGAGTGCATGTGCCCTATAGCAAAAACCTCTAAAAAAGGGACCAGCAGTTAGCATGATGGCTATGTCACTGGACTCCCATGTAGTTGACCGCAGTTTAAGTCCCTGACCTAGTGGCTTAAACTCACGCCGGGCGCATGTGCATGTGTGCCCAGGATCCCGAGAGGAGAATGGAGGAGAAGGGATTGCGGTGTGGCCATCCCCCTCTGAGGGGTGATTTCTTGCTTTCTGTCTCTCTGTCTCTCTCTGGCAAGCGCACAAGCCCTATAGCAAAAATCTCTCCAAAAAAAATTAAATAAATAAATAATAAACCTCTAAAAAAAATTAAAAATAAAAAAGCCGGGTGGTGCATGCCTGTAATCTCAGTTTATAAGGAAGCTGAGGCTGGAGGACTGTGATGCAGCAAGGCCCTATCTAAAACACCTCCTACATACACATACAAGCAGACTAGTGTAGTAGTCCTAGGCAGTGGTAGGGAAGGGCCTGTTTAGAGTGGAATAAAAAGATGGATATGGGGCCAGCAGGCGGTGTGGTGGTTGAGGGCACTGGACTCCCACAGGGCCAACTGGTTTGAGTCCCAGACCTGGCAGCTTGCTTTCTCACTTTCCCTCTCTATGTTGCTCTCAGTCAAAATAAACTAAAACGAAGTTAAATAAAATACTTTTTAAACATTTAAAATAGATACAAATACACTGGGTGTTTGAACTTGGTAAGTCATGACTTCATGTGGAAATTAAGCAATATGATCAAACTGCACAGAATTTCATCAGTCTTTCCCTGTCTCAGCCATGACTGTTCTGTCTCTCTGAAGTAGCTATTAAGCTATGGGCTATCTTCCTCCCTTTCACCAAAATACAGAGAGGGCAAGGTGTTAAAGTGACTAGGGGACCAGTAGCTGGCGGTGGTTAAGGTCCTTTCCAATTCCGACCCACTGGCTGGAAAATCATGCTGGTTTGTGTGCAGGCGTCAAAATCCCGAGAGGAGACTGGAGAAGGGACTGCCGCGGCCATCCCCGTCGGTGATTTCTCTCTTTCCTTCTCACCCTGTCTGCCTTTGTCTCTGGCGAGTGCATGCGTCCAGTAGCAAAAACCGAAAAAAAAGTTATCTTTTGGAGACCACCCCTTTGGTAGACAGCTGTGCTATTACCTTTAACTGAAGAGTTCTTCACATCTTCATAGAGCTGTTGAATCACTTTCTATTTGCACATTTAAATGGGAGCTAAACGCCGGTTGTTGCAGGCGAGGGGAGAATGCTGAAAAGTGAAGGAAGAGAGAGAGGGAGGAAACAATGCCTAGAATTAGAAGTAGACGGAAGACAGCCACGTTGGGCGAAGTCAGATGTCAGGACCTATTTCTTCCTGCTGCGAGATTCACCCCAATCAACTCCTAACACTAGCATTGGATTTTTTTTCCTCTGCGCATGTCAAGGTCTTTTGTCCCTCGGCGGACGCCGTTTGCCAGCCAATGCTATGTC